TCATCAACTCTCTAGTCGGGATAAAACATCTCGGCTAAAATTCTAAAATTGCGCAAATCATCAACTCTCTAGCTGGGACAAAACATCTCTGCTAAAATTCTAGAGTTGAGCAAATCATCAACTCGTCTAGCCGGGATAAGGCACCTCAGGTTTAAAGGTGGTTGCCCCTGGTGCACTACGGTCCTTCAATGACAACATACTTTCTATGTAAAATAATTCATTTCTATTGCATATTACAAATGACTGAGGGGATTACATTAGTAGACAGAGGGGAAAACTTGCGCCTTTTACAAAAAATTACACATAAAAGATAAAGACTAAAAATAGTATAGCTTGAGGTTGGCCGCATTCCATGGCCGGGGTACGCTTTTGCCATCCAAATCCTCTAGGTGGTATGCTTCCTTGCCCGCTAGACCGGTTATCCTGTAAGGCCCTTCCCAATTTGCCCCTAGCTTGCCTTCGCCAAGCACCAATGTGTTTCCCATCACCTTCCTTAAAACCCATCCCCGACTTTAAGCGGTCTGGGGTGCATTGTTTTGTTGTACTTTCTGGATAATTCTTGTTGATATGCAGCCATGTGGATTAACGCCTTTTCTCGGCGTTCGTCAGCGAGGTCCAATTCCAGAGCAATGGCTTTAGAGTTCATCTCGGGCTCAAAAGTTTCGCTGTGGATGGTAGGCATCCTGATCTCCAATGGAATAACCGCCTCCATGCCGTATGCCAGGGAAAAAGGTGTCTCCTCGGTCGAGCGTCTCGGGGTCGTCCAATATGGCCAGAGGACACTAGGAAGTTCCTCGGCCCACTTGCCTTTGGCTTTCTCTAGTCTTTTCTTCAATCCATCTAGAATGGTCTTGTTCGATGCTTCAGCTTGGCCATTGGACTGAGGGTAGGCCGGGGTGAAATTATAAAATTCTGTCTTCAATTCCTCACAAAATCCTCTAAACAGCCGCCCGTCAAATTGGGTGCCATTATCAGAGATCAAAGCCTTGGGGACACCAAACAACGTTATCATGTTCTGCTAAACAAACTGTTTGACATCCTTTTCTTTGATGGTCGCTAAGGGCTCGGCTTCAACCCATTTGGTGAAGTAATCTATTGCCGCAATGAAGAACTTTCGGTTGCCTGGCGCTGTTGGGAGTGGTCCCATTATGTACAGCCCCCACATTGCAAAAAGCCAAGGACTTGTGAGGGGGAGAAGTTCTCTGGCCAGCTAGTGAATTTGGTGGGTGAACTTTTGGCATTTTTCGCATTTTCTAACATATTTTTGCGCATCTGCTTGCATGCACGGCCACCAGTATCTTTGCGAAATATCACGGTAGGCTAAAGATCTCCTCCCGACGTGATTTTCGCAAATGCCTTCGTGGATCTCGTAAAGGAAATTTTCTACGCTGTTTGGATGAACACACTTGAGGTACAGACTGGCGAATGACTTCTTATATAAATCGCCAGATGGAGAGAGCCAAAACCGCTCTGACTTCACCCGGACTTTATGTGCTTCCTTTTTATTGGCCGGAAGGGTCCGTTCTTTCAAGAAAAGGATGATAGGGTCCATCCAAGAGAGACCAAGCTCGGTACAGAATACTTTTCGTCTGCTCCGAGTCCTCAATACTAGGTCTTGGAAGAAACTTAATCAGAAGAGGATTGGGAGTTAAACCATCGAACATGGAAGCTATACAGGCCAACTCGTCTGCTTGCTGTTTTCTTTACGGCCAATTTGTTGGACTCTTATTGCTTGGAATTCCTTGATGTGTTCTCTCACTAGAGCTTGGTATTTGGCCATTCTGTCATTTTTGGCTTCGTATTCTCCAGACATTTGGTTTACAACGAGTTGAGAGTTGTTGTAAACCATCAGCTCAGATGTGTGCAATTTGAGGGCGCTTTTAAGTCCGGCCAGCAGTGCTTCGTACTCAGCCTTGTTTGACACAGGGAATCCGAGCATGATGGTGTGCTCGATGGTTAGATCATCCGGCGAGATCAAGACTACGCCCAGCTTGGCGCCGTGCCGGTTTGAGGCGCCATCTACAAAAAGTTTTCACATTTCTCTAATGAAAAGTTTCCAGCATTCCGAGGGATCCTGGGAGGCTTGTAGGTCGAGGTGATCACGGTGGCTTGACTGCTCGGCTATTTCTACCACAAGCTCGCCACTGACGGTTTTAACAGACATATCTTCAACCCCCCTGGGCGGTGTGGTACCGGATCCAACAGGTTGACCTGTTATTCCTAAATCCAACGTCGCACTGTCGGGCTGAAATACACCTCCGTCTGAAGGATTTGTAGACAGGCGTGCAAATTCCATATCGCTGACATCACTCTATTGGGAAATTCTCGTTGCACTTACCTCCTTTACCCCGGCTGCCGCGGTAAAATCCATCGGGCATTCTGTGTGAATTCCAAGCGAGAATTTAGTAACAAAATCGGCTAATGCTTAGGCTTTGATGGCAGTTCAGGGTTGAAACTTGATGTCGAATTGCCCCAATTCGACTGCCCACTTCAGAATTCGGCCGGAAAAATCCGCTCGTTCAAATAGGGCTTTCAGAGGGAATTCGGTCAACACCACGATTGTGTGAGCATGAAAGTAGTGCGCCAATTTCTTAGAGGCCATCATTAGTGCTAAAGCAAGTTTTTCCAATAGCAAGCACCTCGACTTTGTCGATAGTAAGGTTTTGCTCACGTAAAAGATTGGGAGATGTTGGATACCTTCTGCCCGGACGAGCACTGCACTAACTGCATGTTGAGAAACAACCAGATAAAGGTAGAGTGCTTCACTGAGCTTGGAGGTCACCAAGAGTGGGGCGGAAGACAGATACGTCTTGAGTTCGGTCAAGGCCCTGTCACATTCTTCGTCCCATGCAAATTTGGACTTCAAGGCTCGAAAGAAAGGGCGACAACGATTTGATGACAGACTTATGAATCGGTTAAGCGCGGTTGCCATACCGGCAAGATGTTTCATGTCCTTCGCCGAGTTGGGCTCCTTCAATTCTTGTATGGTTTTGATTTGTGAAGGGTCCGCTTCGATGCCTCAGTTGGTGACTAGGAAGCCTAGGAATTTCCCTGACCCTACACCAAAGGCACACTTTGACGCATTTAGGCGAAGCTTGTGTTGTTTAAGAATGGCGAACACCTCGGCTAGGTCGGACAAGTGGTCGGCCTGCTACTTGCTTTTGACCACCATGTCGTCGATGTAAGCCTTCATCGTGTGGCCTAGCAAAGGGGCGAACATCTTGGTTACCATCCTCTGGAAAGTCGCCCCGGCGTTTTTCAAACCAAAAGGCATGACTCTATAGCAGAACAATCCCCTTGGCGTCGTGAAAGAGGTTATCTCGTGGTCGGATGCATGCATGGCGATCTGGTGATAACCGCGATAGACGTCTAAGAAACTGAGCCGGTTGTGTCCGGCTGTAAGATCCACCAGTTGGTCGATTCTGGGCAGAGTAAAGCTGTCTTTAGAAAAGCTGTCTTTAGCTACATGCATGGCGATCTCCCTCTCAATTACTATGTATGAAAGGCAAGAAATGAAGAGCATCGTGAAAATTCGAATTGTGTCGTTGATTAGTTATTACTATTACAATTCAATTTTTGACATCATCTTCTTTTTCTTCTTCAAACATATTGTGGTGTGAGCCTGAGTTGACTTTCTTTTTTTCACTTTTATTTTAAATTGTTATTGTTATTATAATTTTAAAAATAAAATATTTCTAAAAATCTATTTAAAAAATTCAATAAATACACAACAATATGAAAGTGTATATAATTTATATATTTTTTTGTCTTTAATAATTTTTAATTTTTTTTATAAATATTATATTTTGTAACTGTATCTAAGTTAAGTAAATTTAAAATGTAAAAAATTACTTAAAATATTTAAAGATTCATAAATAACAAAAAAAATCTAATTTTATAAAAAATGAGTTAAAATAAGTAAGGTTATTCTGCTGAGGAACCAAAAATAAAAAATTAAATGTCAGATTTTTTAGTACTTTTAATTTTGTGTTTTCCTTTTTTTTTTTGGTACCCATTCTTGATAAATTGCTTCAATAATCTAGCCAAACAAATCAATAAATAAATAAATAATGATGAAATATTTCTTTGATTTGCCATCATTGAAAATACCAAATTGAAAGGATAAGCTAATTTGAGCAAATGAAACTTTAACTCAAAAACCAATTTTTGATGAAAATCTACAAGGTAAACCTGAGGACATTTGGTAGTCTGCGGAATTTTCTTTTTCCTTTTCTTCTTTCGAAAGACATGTCTCGCACAACCATTGTGGTTCATTCTCACACACACCCAAAATTAACAAAAAACACACTAAAAAATGACAGACAACTTTAAAGTTGAAACAACTTTAAAAAAGTCAAAAAAACATTTCTTTTTTTTTTTTGGGTGAATAACAAAAAACATTGAAACATTGAAACAACTTTAAAGTCATGTATTCATCCAATGACATGAGAGTATGTAATCATTTTTCACCCCTTAAAAAAAAAAGTCAAAATTCACATCACCACACGTAATTGGATGGATGGATATAATGGCTACACTAAAATTCACCTGATATTTTTTTCCCTCAAGCCACCCTCGGTCAATCAAAAAGGGCGTAGAAGGTTGAGTAGAATTTGTTTGTTAGTAGCAGATAAAGGCTTTAGAATAGGGTTAAGTTTGTTTTACTTGGGCTGCAGGAAGTCTCTCTCATGCCGTGCTATTGCTCCTGATGCGGTAGTGGACCTGCTCAAAAGGGTAGGATTCCGTTCCCGAGGGGGTGAGGCTGCCGCGCTTGGTACGGTGAGTTGCTAGCTATGGACCAAAGAGAAGGGCATATATGATATCAATTCCGGTTCTTGATGCCCGACCCAAGTTTTGGAAGTAGAGCTTGCCATCCATCCGAAAACATAACAAAAATTCATTCATAAAGAGAAAATTCTTATAAAAAATAAGAGAGAATCTCACCAAGCATTTGAGAGATCATAATTTGCTGCAAATAGTTTAGGAAAAAGAAACTTGTAATGATATTCCTGGTAACCTGAGTGGTTCAAAGCTTCATTGGGTACCGAGATTGTAAGAATACCAAGTATATAGTGTTTCTACCAAGGAAAATAGTTACATATAGAATCATTGCAAATGCGAAAGGTTTGAGTTACTCCCATGCACCCACTGATTGATGGTCAATTAGTTTAGTATCATTCCTTGTTCTCCTATTTGTGTAGAAACCCGGGAACATTTCTTTACAAGACAGAGCTGTTGAAGGATAATGCCATCAAGCATTTATCAACACCAACCTGGAAACATCAATTTCACCTCTCTTACCTGCACAAAATAAATGTATGTTTTCAGGCGTTAGCTGCATCTATATTTAATGAAGTATCAAGTGAGCATTTGCATTGAACATGGCAATCTCGTAGTGGAGAATGAAGAAGAAGACTACCATATTTGCAATTACAAACAAACATACAGGAGTTTAGCATGAAGTCCACTAGCTCTGAGTCAAAAGGGTAGCTAATAAAGATCACTTTTTTATTGTTTGTTTTTAAGTGGCCAGCAAAGTTATCTTTAAGCCAATCACAACATTATTGCATCACAAAACCTCTATTACGAAGGAAATTCTCACAATTAGACACATATTGACTGGACATTGAAATGAAATCTTAAGGGGTTTTATTCATCTCTAGAACAAACAGGTCATACTTTATGTTCTTTAACACCTATAACTAGTAACATAGTTCAAACCAAAAGCGATACAAAAGATGAGGAAATGCCAAAAAGAGCTAGGATTAAGGAGATCAGAAGGTGCATATTGTTTACAATCCACCACAGGGCTACTAGTTCACAACTAGTCATCAGGTATACCTATCTAAGAATTGCAATAAATTAGCCCCTCTTACAACTAGTAACATAGTTCAAACCAAAAGCGATACAAAAGATGAGGAAATGCCAAAAAGAGCTAGGATTAAGGAGATCAGAAGGTGCATATTGTTTACAATCCACCACAGGGCTACTAGTTCACAACTAGTCATCAGGTATACCTATCTAAGAATTGCAATAATGGGTTCGTGAAGCTCACTTAATAGATGAGGTATGGCTTTGCTTGTTGAAAATTTTCAAGTAAAGAACAAGTCAGTGTATTTGCTCAACTAGGTGAAAAATAAAAGGGTGATGATACAAAATAGACTAGCCATGAGACTTTCATTTTTACTTTTTCCATTGACAGGTAGTTTTGTGCATTAATCCAAGCTAAAACATATTAAAGTTGGTTTTCTGGAGTGCACATTTGGTTGTTGAGATTGCTTAACATGCAAAGGTCTCACTTCAACAACAAATTCATCAAGACTCAACACAAGTTCATGCAAATATTATACACTAGAATTTGATTTCAATCTCTATAGAAAAAACAAGTGGTTGTCTAATTTGATATGCCTTTAGTGTAGCTACAATCAAAATGTCATTACCTTTTTTTTTTTTTTCCATGTTTTGTTCTTGCACAAGTAGGAAATATCATTTGTCACAGCTAGAGGACCAAGGAAGAAAAACAAGTATATGAATCAAGTGAAAATAGTTCTCCAATGCTATATGCACTGTAGGATGTTCTTGAGGACATTACAATTATCTCTTTAAGAATCAAGTGAAAGGAGTAAATTTTCAGAGTTTGTTGTTGGTTGATCAAAAGGGTAAGCCTGTACATTTCCTTCTTCTACTTTTCCCTTTTTGGTGGGGACAGGTTGCAAACAGGGGGATTTGGGATCAAATATATTCGCAAGAATTATCCCTAACAGGGCATACATTTACAATCTCTTATAGCAACCAGTGACTTGTTGAGATAGGAGAATCATTAATACTAATTTGTAAACCACTACTAGGACAGAAACCTATGTTTTTCAAGAAATGTTTTCTCTGTTCTTACCAGTACAAAAAGAGAGAGATCAATTGATGCAACATCTATTGCATGGATAAATAAGTACGATAGGTTGTGGCAGCCCAACACAAAGTCTAAAGGTCTTATGATCGTCAAGAAGCCTTTTTGGTCTAAATAGAAGTGTCCATGGTAGTATTTAGTAGTTAAGGGTATTATAGTAATTTCAATATTGCTGGACATGGGTTGTAGGATTGCCCATGGGTTTTATTTTGGATCAATTTATTAAATGGGTCATTACATGTGTTTTATTATATAGAATAATCTTAGTGGTCATTAAAGTTTCTTATATTTATGATTGAAGTAGAATTGGAAGTCATAGTTCGTTTAGAATATTAGAAGTTGAGAGTCTTTAGCTTATAAATATATGTATAATCTCAATGATTCAATAAAAGAGTTAATATTATGAAAATTTGATATTGTGTTTGTGTGATTGGCCTATCTCTTGTGAATCTCTAGTAAGGTTATTGTTCACATCACTGTTCACAGTGCTTAGAACAACCACCCAACAACCCTTAAACACTTGTGTTTTCATTCCCAAAACCCTACCATTTTCAAATCCTTAAACTTCTGTTTTTTAAATACTTTTGCAACCACAAAATCCCACTAAATCCAGCCCTATAAGCCTATTATTGCTGCTGTCAGTATACTTAACCCGGTCTTACTACTTGTGGGAAAATAATCTTTACTTGTCCTACATCATCAATTTTCTACATACATGGACTTTTTCTAATAGCACACAAAATTGACTAGAACTGGGTTTCAATCTCTACAAAAAAACAATTATGCCTTTGGTGTATCTACAATCAAAGTGTCAATAGCTTTTTTTTTTTCTTTTTCTTGTACAAGTAGTAAATATTAGGGACATTTACACACAAATTCTAATTTATGAACTCATACTCCATTAAGTCCTAATTAAGATTTTTGGACCTTCAAGTCTCATTAAATTTTTAATAGTCAAAATTGCCCTATAAACAATAATTGTTCATTATTTATGATTACCTATAAAAGAACATGATGATTTGACATTTATTTTGATTTTCAAAACTTTAAAATATTAACTTTCAAATTGAAAAAACTTTTAAAAAAAAATGTGCAAAAAATTAAAAAAAAAAATGAAAAAATTTAATTATTTTTTGGTAAAAAAATGAAAATTTTGTATCTATAAAGGAGCATGATAATGGAACATTGATGTGCAAAACTGAAAGAAAAGAAAAAAAAAACTTTAAAATTGAAAAAACTGATAATATTCTTAGTTTTAAAACTGAAAAAAAAAACTAATAATATTTTCAGTTTTATTAGATAGTTGAATCAAACTAATAAGTAGAATGGCAAAAACGTTTAATCTCATGCTCTGTTTTTTTCATCAGTTAGTGAAACAATTATCTAAAATATTACTATGTAAAATTGATAATGTTCTTAGTTTTAAAAATTAGAAAAAACTGATAATATTCTCAATTTTACTAAATAAGACTTATTGATTCAAAAAATCTTAAATAGAATCTGAGCTATCATAATATTTGTAAACAAGACTTTTAAGTTATTAACTCTAAATATTATTTGTCATGCTTAGGACACGGAAAGAAAACAAATACTTGAACCTATCCTCTTTCTCCAGTGCAACATATACCGCAATTATTTCTTGAAGAATTTAGTGGAAGAAGTGATTTTCAAAGCTTGTCTTCGGTTGATTAATAATGTCAGCCTATACTTTATCTTCTTCCCATAGATCGCATTTGCTTCATTTTAATGAATTAAGGCTCATAATCAAAATTATATAGCTCCTTTGCATCTGTCGCAAAAAACAACAGGTAAAATATGTTCAAAAATTAAAAATTAGTGAGCAACATCATAACAGAATCTATAAATTACTAAGCAACATCCAACTATTAATAAAACTCAAAGGAAATTCCAGAGAAACAAAAAATAAATAAAATGAAGCTTTATGGTGTTGACTAATGAAAAAGGCAGCAATCCCCTATGTTACATGGACTCGGGTATGGGTGCCGGGTGCGGATATATATTTAAATGTCAGACTCATCAAATTATAAATTTAAGGGTACGAAGATTCGGCAAAAAAATATCATATTTTTATATTTTTAATCAAGTATGTGAGATAAAATGATACTATATAAAACTTACAGCGTCAAAAAGATATTTATAGCAATTATATGATAACACGTACATATAATAATAGTGTGATATACTCCCGTACCAGTGGGAGACAGCAAAAGGGCAAACTCCGAGTACATCTGTTATTGTTTGTTGCCCAGCAACAGATGCATGATCCCACCTTCGGTCTCGTTGGATAGGTAAGATGGAAAAGTGGTTTGCTCATCAAGTTGATTACATGCCATTCTAAATGAAAGTTGCACGTTGCCAATTTAACTAGCCAAAGTGTTTCCATTCCTGGGACATCTGTCAAATTTCATGTGGGTCATTGCAACCCTCTCTCTGTCTCTCATCAATCAGTCCAGGAAACATTTGCTAGCAAGACACTATGCAAGCCATGGCCTCTGCAGATTGCAGCCTTGTGTTCTGCAGCATTACAGCCCAACAATTGGACAAATTGTCCACAGGTTGGCCTCCTACAGTTGCGTAGCCACTAGCAACTTTGTTAGTGCTTGTGCCTTGATAATTCACTTCCACTCCAGCTATGACACAGTTCAATATCAGTGTCTTTTAAACTAAACAGCCCCAATAGCAAAAGGATACATACCAGGAAACTTTTAAAATCACCCCAAGGGTCATGTGAGAACTACCAAATCTGTAGTTAGCTTAATAAATGCAAGCTATATATAACCGAATCTTATCATAATACCACATAGCAATACTAGAACCCCTTAGTTGCAAACCTATCTTTCCTTCCAAAGAATCCTTGATTGGTAACATCAAAATATGGGCTAATAAACCAAGTAAACTACAAACCCAGTCAATCATTTTAAAGATACACTAGCAAAAATGGTTCACTAAGTTATCTTAATCCATCTTAATATGCATTCCATTAAAAAAGAGCGATGTTTGAAAAGAATGAAACATGTAACTTTGAAAATGGTGACTAGCAAAACTGTATCCATGTTATAGACCTAAAGTAATTTAGGTTAAATGCTTCTGAAGTTGGGTTTTCTGACTTGCACATTGCAAAAAGAATTCAAAGCTAGTAGAAGCCAAGCTTTATGTATATTTGAGTCATTTACTGAAACAAGACAATGGCTCTGTCTTCTATTTCATGCAAAGAGCAACAAATATAGCAATGTAGGAATTACACAACGAACAATTCCATGATCAATCTTCTTGCTGACAGAGATCAGTGTCAACCCATTTAAGTTATACCAATAATTTCATCCTAGTGTAAGAGAAGAGGTACAATAAAACATAATCATTGTCTTTAATATCATACCAGTCAATGTACTGCATTTGTCATTAGTGCAGTACATATCGGTACAGACAAGATTCAACATCTATACATGTATTTAAAAGAGTTTCACCAAATAACAAACATTTTATGAGCATAAAAGGCTATACGTTTTAGTATAATGTACAGCTTAAGAAATTTACTCATTCTCTTGCATTCCATGACTATCTTTGGGCATGAGCTTCTTTATCAGTTCTTGGACAGCAGGATCTTGTCCTTTAGTTGAGAGTATATCAACGATCAAGGGAAAAGTGGATGCATCTACTGAAAAACCCCTTCGAGCCATTTCCTCAACGAGTATTAATGCCTCATAGCACTTGTGTTGTCTAATAAATCCTCGGATAATAGTGTTGTAAGTGACATCATTTGCCAAGCAACCATTTTGTTCCATTTTAACAAACAACTCTTTAGCTTCATGTAGTAGGCCTTCTTCACAAAGACCTTTTATCATCATAGTGTATGACTTAACATTAGGTTGTAATCCCTTGGAAGGAAGGTTATGGAAAAGGGCCCTTGCAGTATCAAGCTTTTTATCCTTGCAGAATGCATCAATAAGAATATTGTACATAACAACATCAAGATGTAAACCGTTGCTTTCCATCATGTGGAATAAGGACAATGCTTCAGCAATGTTCTGGTTTTTGCACAGCCCATCCAACATGACACCATAAGTTTGAGAATTCGGAATTATGCCTACAGCTTGCATCTCATTAAAAAGTTCTTGAGCAGCCGAACATCTACTTGATCGAAACAAACCCTGTAACATAGCAGCGAACGTTTCAGTGTTAGGATTCAACCCTGTCTGAGGCATTTCTCGAAAGAGATGCATGGCCTCATCTATTTTCATCTTCTTGCAATATCCATTGATTAGAATGTTATAGCTAAAAATATTAGGGTGAATGCCCTTGTCCACCATGTTATTGAACACTCTAATTGCTTCATCCATGTGGCCTTGAAAACAATATCCATCCATTAGAGTATTGTATGTGACTACATCAGGATCCACACCTCTTTGTATCATGACTTCAAGTACCCCCTCTGCCTCGTTCATCATCCCTTCCTTGGTACATGCATCCACCAACACATTAAATGTATGAACATTCGGAGCAATACCACTATCCAACATTTCTCTTAACATTTCTGTAGCCTCCTCCCACCGGCCAAAATTACATAGTCCGTGAATCAAAGAAGTATAAGTGACAACATCTGGGAAAATACCCTTTTCATTCATTTCTGTAAAGAGTTTCACAGCATCATCCACCATTCTATCCTTGCAAAGACTATCAATGATTGTGCTATAGACTACGGTGTCAGGTTTACCACTCCCCTCTTCCATCATCCTAAGCAAACTAACAGCCCTGATAGTGTTCCCGGTTCTGCAGAGCCCATTAACAATGGTTCCATACATAATGACGTCGGGTTCAATTTCTTTAGTTGTGATTAATTTCTTAAATAACTCTACAGCTTCAGGGGTTTTATCTTGCAAAATAAGTCCATTAATCAGAGTGTTGAAGGTAGTTGCATCAGGTGTATAACCACGTTTGAAGAGGGAACCTAACAGAGAGAAGCCGAAATGGACTTGATCAAGGCGGCAGCAACAGTTAATAGCAATGTTGAAGGTGTAGATATCGAGCTGAATGCCCTGGAACTGTTGCAGCTTGTTCAGAATAAGAGAAAGAGAGATGTCGTAATGACCCATCTTCGTAATAGGTCCTAAAGCTTTGTTGAATTGAGAAATGGGGGGCAAAGGTCGCATTTGGAGCATGCGATTGAACGAAATCAAAGCAGATTGAAGATCTTTGGGACCCAAATTGCGTCGTTGTTTGGGTATTACAGCAACAGCAGCAGGAGGAGGAGAAGTAGGGCTAGTAGAGAGAGAACGAAGCAAAGGAAATGAGGATGGAGGATTATTAGTTAGGGGGGAGGAGACAAATAGCGGCGTACCTTTTAATAGCCAATTATAAGCTATTGCTCTTCTAATAATCACTGATACATCAATTGTTGACATCATCACCATCATCTTCTTCTTCTTCAAGCTCTGTATCTCTGGGGCGCGCGCGCAAGAGAGAAAGAGAGCCCTTTGTAACCAACGCAATGTGGTGTGAGACTGAGGGTGACTTTTTATTTATAGAAAATTTATATTAAAAATATTTATATACTTGTGAAAATAATTTCTGATTTTTTTTTTTTTTTTTTTCTTCAATCTTCTAATCTGTTTTGGATTTGAACTATTTATTTGTTTTATTGATCCCAAAACGTGTAGGCTCCTCTGAGGTGAACATGATCACTTCTAGTGATCATATAGGCTTAAACACCAACCTGTGAAAAGTCCAATCAGCACAATGGCTCCGTTTGGTAGAGTTATGAGAAATAAATTATAACTTCTAACCTAACAGTTTATAGCTGTGAACATAAGTTGATTTTTAACTCATAAATTAAGCTTCTCCTCCCCCACTTAAAGAATAAGTTGATTTTTGACTTACAAAAAGTTATAAGCTGTATTGTTAAGCTGAATCAAACACATCAAAATAACTTAAATTAAGCTAAAAACTGAAATAAGCTGGAAATAAGCCCTAGCAAACAGGGCCAATATAAGCAGGAAAAATGCTTGGGAGCACTAATTAGTGCTCCCACTAATTAGGTGGCAGTGGGTCTCGCCATTAATGATGTGATGTTTTGGTCTTAGAGTTGTATTTTTTTTTTTTACTTTTTTAATGCATTAGTGCTATTAGTGGTGATGGTTTTAGTGGGATGGATCATTGTTGATATAAGCAGTAATTGATCCAACAGAAACATTTACACTATGTTTGAGAATTTAGGAGAGAAAAAAAAAATGATTATGATTTTTCTCTTTTTTATTTAGATAAGGAAGAAATAAAAAAAAAGAAATGATTGTGATTTCTCTCATTCTTATTTGGTTAGATTTCATTAAGAGAAAAAAAAACGAAATTACTTTATGTTATATTACCAAAATAACCTTTTTATATTTTCAATCATTTTATTTCTTTTATTTTTATAGAGACAAAATTAGTATTATGAAAATAATGGTTTCTTTTCTCTCCCAATCTCTCCACTTTTGAAAAGATTAAAAATGAGCCTTATAAGAGAGATGGGTTTCTCTCAATTTTTCTTCATTTCTTTCCATTTCTCTCCACTTAAATTATCCAAACAAGTAAGAGAAACACATTTCTCTTTATTTTTTTTCTTTTCTCTCCAAATCAGTTAATCCAAACATAGCGTTAGAAGAAATGCAAAAGCAGATTCTTTTCTCACACAGAATTTAATTAAAAATTTTGAAGAAGGAAAGTATATTGTGGCCATATGAAGAACCCTCGACTGAACAAATTCTAAAAGCCTGCCTATGTAGAATTGGCTACCAAACCTTTCTGAATATCAGCTATATCAAGGACTATATCCCCTTTCTGATCATGCAGACCATGTGCTTTCTCATTCACCTTAACCCATGTTATTTTCTTGGTGGCCTTTCTCCTGTTCTAATAACAACTTCCTTGCAAATCAGATTACTTCTTATTACTAGTTTAATCAATGGTTGCACATATAACGAAAAGAAAAAAAAAAAAACATCTTGTTTCTTGTTGATGCAAAGCCCTAACAGAATGTTATTAGAAAGACTTTGATTCCCTAATTTATAATTTCTCATATCGCCAATGTCCATCTCGATATCCTCAATCCAACTACACGGATTATATAGATACCTTGGTTTTCTTTTATGGTTCTTGTTGGTAAATAATTAAATAAAAATTTATGTATGAGTTTTTAACTGGTGTGTAAAAGACAATTCTAACATGTTTTTTTGACGTCATTGAGTTCTTAAAAGAATCTAAGACATACAGAATGGATAGATAGCAAGATCCCCCAATGACTATGTTGACAAAATTAGCAGTGGCCCAGTGGGCTTCAGTTCTTCTATTTCAAACATGTTTTGCAACAGTCAGACCACTTGCAAACCTTTTCAGTACATTGATGGCTTGTATTGCACCCAAAACACCAACAACTCCATCGTACTTCCCAGAATAAGGAATTGCATCAATATGAGAACCTGTTGCAACTGCAGCTAGCTGTGGTTCATAGCCCTCCCTGCATAGAAGCAAATGAGACAAAGGGGTTGAGCACTAATGAATAAGTTCAGATAAAATCAGCACAACAAAATGAAGAAAAAGTAATTCCTAGAATTAAGGTAACTCAACAGAATGGAAAAGGTTATCTGTTGACTCAAAATTGCATGAAATATACACAAAATCTAAAGATTGATTTGGTGAAAAATTGAATGCTTCAATCCTCACTTAAACATTCCAAGCTTACCCACAAAAACTTCTTTTGTCAAATTTGGTGAAAAATTATAAATTTGGATAAGGTTTGGAGATGCTGTAAGTGTAGACAAATAATAAACAAACTTGGAACCCAATAGACTAAATAAAATCTCATATAAAACAAAATGGATTCGATCAATTTCCGTGAGAGTTTCAAAACACCCCTACTGTTAAATTTTTCAAAACAAAACAAAACATCCAGTTCACGAATCATTGGCACAACCAAACCTATATTACAATCAAACTCAATAGTTCGATTGCTAAAAAATCTTTCTGACAAAACCAAGTTCAGAGAATACACACAGAGAGAGAAGCAAAGACAAAGATATAGAGAATTTGTATCAATACCTGTTTCTACAAACTTTGGTTATCCATTGATAGTAAAGATAGTGGATTTTGGGAATGGGGTTCGTGAATTCAGTATCCAGAGAAATGCTCCATAGTTTTGGTTGTTGGGTCTTCTCCATCTTTGTGAGCTATGATTTCAGAGAAGCAACAGAAGACAAATAGAGGAAAAATAAAGAGAAGACAGAAATTCAGAACCATCTTATTCAATCTGGTATGTTGTTTGGTGTTCCATGGTTCGCTATGAAACTGTGTCTGTCTGTGTCCCCTTACATGTAAGATATATATATATATATATATAAATTAATCATATCCAACTTTTATCCATGAATGGTAGTAGTGGAAGTCCTCTGGCAAACAAAACTAAGAACTCACTAGTTTGGTGAAACATGTCAAAGGTATTGACATCAGTTCTCTTTGAAAATGTCTCACGATGGGACTCATAAATAATGTTTTGATATATAATGTTTGAATTTGTTTATGTATTTGAAAGTCCTCTTTAAGAATGGCGGTTTGGCCCAATGATAAGATTTGCTATTAATGTTTGTGGTGGCATGGATTTGAATTACAAAAACAGTCTCTCCAAAATAGGAGTGAGACAATGTACATTTTAACATATCCATTGAATGGTTCTTTATTTGGGAGTCCACTTTGGTAATTAGCACAAACTTATTTATCCAACAATAGAGTAATCTATTGATTATCATGTATGTGTTATATACATCTAGTGGTATGCAAGTTTTAAAGTTTTAAACTCCAACAGTAATGCCCTATACTTTCTGCAATGTTAATCCCTTTTATTACTACATACTGAATCTTATTCTCTGAAACTTAGAAAAATAATGGTTTGAAATTTTCTCTTGGCTACTGGTCGGTTAAATACATTGCTGGTTTGAGCTAATATGGTGCCGAATCTAGTTTGAGCTGTTACTGTTGTTTAATACTAATAAGCTGAAATCAGGATCACAATTCCATAAAAATATGAAAAAAACAGAACAAATTTACAGAACTAATGGCCAGCTGAACCAGGTTTTGCCAAGTGAAACTACAATACAAGAAACAGTTGAGTGCTCAAACTGAAATACACTATGATGGCTTAGCAGAAAATTCAAGATCTATGATTTTGTGGAAATTAGTTTACAACCTCCGTAGCAGACGTGAAAAACTGCTTGGTGAAGTAGTATCCTTCTTTTGGCATACACTATACAGATTTTACTTGAAACAAATCCTTTTGGAGAACATTAGGAAGTCGCTCAACCGTTGCACAATGTTGTTCATCCACCAACACTAGGTGTAATAACATTTCACTGACCGCTTCATTTGGCAAGAAGTTTCTGTTACGCATTTCTCCAAAAAGATGCATTGCTTTATCGATTTCATTTTCTCTAAGAAAACCTTGAATGATGATATTGAATGAAATGGAGTCCGGTGAACACCCCTTCTCTTCCATTTGCAAGAACAATTCGCAAGCCTCAGATAACATCCCTTTCTTGCATAAGCCATTGATCATTATGTTATATGTTACAACATCAGGGACCAACCCTTTCTTTGATAGCTCATCAAACTGTTTCCTTGCTTCCCCTAGTTTACCATTTCTGCACATTCCATTAATGAGAATGCTCACAACTTCAATGTTAGATTCAAGCTCGGTACTTTTTACAGACTCAAACAGACATATTGCTTCCTCAATGTGTCCATTTTTGCAGAGCCCAGCCAACAGAACAGAATATGCATGTAAATCTGGAGAGAGGCCACAAACTTGCATGTCCTTAAATAGTTTCTGTGCAGTCCTAACTCCTCCTGCCTGGCACAGTGCTCCAACTAGTGTGCTGTAAGTCACACTCGTAGGCTTCAAACTCTTGCAATGCATTTCCTGAAAGAGTCGCAGAGCATCATCAATCATCTGATGTTTGCAATACCCATTAATCAATATGTTGTAGGAAGTAACGTTGTGCTCTCCACCCTTATCAACAATCGATTTGAAAACCTTTTCTGCATCGTCCAACTTGCCTGACATACAAAACCCATAAATGAGTGAATTATAAGTATAAATATTTGGTTCCTTGCCAAGTTGAATCATCAATTCAACTAGCTTGTAAGCTTCTCCGACCTTGCCCTTTTTGCAGAGACAATCTATCAGTACAGTGAATGTTACAATATCAGGAGAAACACCGTGTCCAACCATATGGTTGAATATTCTTGTAGCTTCTTTCCAGAAATCCAACTGGCAAAAACCATGAATTAAAGAATTATATGTGACGACATCTGCTGAAATTCCTTGACCTACCATTTTGTTGAAAAAATTCATAGCTTCCATCAATCTGCCTAATTTACACAACCCGTTAATCAAAGAACTATAGACAACAACATCAGGGGAAATGTTTACGCTTTCCATTTCGAAAAACATTTCCAGTGCCTCGGTGATTAACCCGTCTTTGCAAAGCGAATCAATGATCATGCTATAAGTAAGCACATTTGCCTTGCCAATCCTCTTCAACATCTTCCTATGCAACTCAACAGCAAGACCCGTCTCGTGAATTTTACAAAGCCCATTGATAAGAATTCCATATGTGAACACATTCCCTTTAACACCCTTCTCAGTCATTTTATCAAACAGGCGAACTGCACTCAAAACCTCACCCACCATACACATCCCCTTAACCAGAGTACCAATAGTAATCGAGTCAGGCTCGAAACCCCTCTTCAAAATCTCCCCAAACACACAAAACCCACAATCTACATTACTCAAATGGCAACAACAATTGATCAAAATGTTCAGTGTACATAAATTAGGTCCAATTCCTAAAAAACTCAAGTTTTTATGAATTGAAAACACATCTGAATAACATCCGAGTTTCGCCATAGAACCCAATATATGATTGAATGTATCGATTGACAATGTTGATTGAATTTGAACCAACCTATGAAAGTATTGTAAGGCGTCATCAAGCTTAATTTTACCTGATTTACATTGCTCTCTGACGAAGTATTCGAACTGGCTCGGATGCCCCAAAAAGTTTTTTCTTCGACAAGTGTTCCTGATTTGGGATTTTGAGATGAAAATCTGAGATGGGTTTGTGAATAGGGAAGCCAAAAGAGTACGAGGATTTACATTTCTGAATTGCATTTCTTAAAAAAAAAAAACAAATATGGTATTATAGGTAACAACTTTTAATTTGTTACATATTCAAATATATAGGTCTAACACCCGACTCCTTCACCACATTATTGTGAGTAAATTTATAGATATAAAATTTAGGACAAAACTCATTTTACCCTATTGTGGTTTGAGGCCAAAACACTTTATCCCTTTATAGTTCAAATATAGTCAGAAAGCCCCATATAATTTTAGATTCTTATCACAATTAACTATAAATATAAAATGATTGTAATATCCTCGAACCCTATACCTCTTTTGTTATTCTCTCTCTCTCTCTCTCTCTCTCATACACATAATTTATAATATCTACCATTAATTCAATTAAATCATAATTTCTTAGTTATTTATTGTAATTCTTAATTTTTTTTAATTTAATTATATTTTAGATCACAATTAATCCTAAATCCTTAATTCTTTATTGTAATTCCTCTTTTTAATCTAATTTTAATTTAAATTAATTCTAAATTTTTAATTATTTATTGTAATTCCTAACATGTTAATCTAATTTTAATTTAATTATATTTTAGATCCATCCTTAATTATTATTTATTCTAAATTCTTATTTAATTATATTTTATATTTTAGATCAATTCTTAATTATATTTTAATTTGATTTATTTTATTTTAATTAACATATTAATTTAATTTTAGGATTAGAGAAGATAGGGATAATTTTTTTTTTCTTGTATTAATTTCGCTTTAATTTTTCAGAAAATTAAACCACTCTCAAAAGTGGTGTGTGAAATATCCCTTTGTTAGGTTGGATCGAAAAACTAACGGTAGCACTTAAGTCTAAAATCACATCAGGTCTTTTTCACTATATTTGAATCATTAGGGGGTAAAGTGTTCCAACTCCCAACCACAAGGAGATAAAATGAATTTAATTATTTTTTTAATCTCTAATGTTTCGTCTTTTTAAATTTTCATCAAATTTAAATTTGTTGAATTCTCAATTTGATGAGGAAAAAAATGACTATCGTTTGATTTGATGAACATTTGATAAAATGATTGGAGATGTTTTTTGAGCATTTTTTTTTATCAAATTTAAATTTAATGAGATAAAAAGGTGACGGATTGGAGATGGTCTAACCTCATCATTTTAATCTCTTTGTTAATTTTTAAAGATAAACTGAATTTTTATTTTTTCCAATTTAAATTGTAATTTCTTTTTCAATATAAATCACCTACTTTTTGTTGATTTTTTTCTTCATGAAAACAGACAAAAAATTTAGATTGAAAATAAATTAAAAATTTAAGATTTAAAATTTTATTTTATTATAATAGTCAGGAATCTTTTTGTAATTACCTCAAATTTTATATGTATTTTTTTAACATATATTTGAGTTTGTTATTCATTTGTTTTTTTAATGGTTCTCTTTATTTTATGATACATTGCCAATATTTTAATATCTGAAATGTTATAATTTCTTCAAAGAAATCATTTTCTTTTTATTAAAAAAAATTAAACTATATTTGATTTATAGATTTAAATAAAAATTTGAAAATAAAAAGGAAAAAAATGTGTGAAAATATAATTATATTTCATTCATATTTCACTTACATTTTTCCTTTTCCTTTATAAATCACTTACCAAGTTCATGAACTAAACACAACATTAAAAATTTTAAAATTTAAACACAACATCTTTGATACATAGACAGAGGAAAATAAAATTACTTATATAACTTACTAAACATTAAAATAAATTCTTTTGACAAATTTATATTCACATCCTTCTCACTTTACAAACATAACCAAAATCAACAGAAAAATAGAAAAAAAAAAAATTATGCTAGAAATCTCTCGACAAATATAATATTCAAACACAATATTAAATACTGTGAGTGAAACCAATCTTTACAATTACAGCAACTCCTCAGCTTCATCTTGGACTTCAGCAACTTTCGTCTGCTCTGTTCTGACCTGCACTACACAAAAACAAATAGATCAATTTTCAGATACATGGGATTTTTTTTATTAATGGTAACAAAAGCAAAAAAAGCATGAAGAAAGAAAAATGCTGTGGAGCTCTAATTTTTGAGCTCTAAAGCCAGTTCTAATGAGTTGGCAATAGACCCCACGCACTCTAAAGTGATGTTTTGGTCTTGGTTTGTTTGTTTTTTTTTTCTTACCATATCATTAGTGTTCTATTAGAGCATCAAAATTAGTGCACCGAATCATTGTTGTTTCAGAAAATAAAAATGCATTTTATTTGGTAGATCTACACAACAAAAATTGATGAGGGTAACTGGAGCCTCACAGAACATTTGTATTTACAGGGTGATGCTATGGTACATTTAGATGTACCATACATTTAGTTATGAACTTATATAATTTATATCATAACCAATATCATATTAGTCATAACTACTATCATATTAAGTCATAACTTAGTTATATTCAATTATTTACTTATACCATATTACTTCATAACCAGGTCATAACTAAGATATTTAAATAATTTGACTCTCAAATCAGGCAACCTGTGTAACCGATTACCAAACAGAGCAAAAGATCAGAGTAGTCCAACAGTCAGAGTAGTCCATAGCATCACCCAGTTCTCTCTGGCTCGTGCTCTTGCTCTTCTCTTCTCCTCCCTCCTCTCTTCCACCATAGCCGAAGCTTCAGCCATTGCCGAAGACCACCAGCCCCATCGGCGTCGGGGCCACCATTCTCTCGGTGTAGACATCTTTCTTCATAACCTCTCACTGTCATGACGTGAAGAACTAGAGTTTCTTCCATTCTAATCGAATATTTCCAAGAGATATTTTCTGTAGCTCAGGTTTGTTTCTAACTCTAAACTTCATTTACATTAGGGCTTTTGATTTGAAAACCCTAACTCTTATTGAATATCTGATATTAAGTTTGGTTCTCAATGAAAATTAAAATCTATATCCAATAGCTGTGCCACTTTGATTTCAGAACTGAAGAATGAATATCTGATATTAATTTTTATGGATGGTTTAGATCAATGGGTGTTCCAGCCATATGGATGATTTGTCTGTGTTTATATCAGTATCTACTCTCTGTCTCCCCCATACCCTGTGTCTGCCATCTGTCTTCCTTGCTCTGTTTTTGTGTTTTTGAGTTATATGGTTTGAGTTATACGGTTTGGATTTGGATTACAC